TAGCTTTGAAATAGCTAAACGCTATGCTCCAAAGAATGAAGAAACAATACTTGGAATTGTCAAGAATGTAAGCATTTATTGACTTTGATTGTAAACCTGAAGGTGATCTTTGTGTGTTTAGGGCATTTTCCGAGGATATGCAAAAGAAGGAACCTCGTCTGATGAGGTTGTTCAAGAGCGAATGATCCCAGATCCAGACAAAGCGAAAGCAAAAGAGATTGCCACCTGCATTGTGCGCCCATTTTCCTGAACTTTGCGATGTCTTAAATTCAAAATTTTTGTAGAATGTAATACATGGCCGTAAAGAGGATGGTCAAGAGCTAGAAACTAAAATAAATGACATTACTGCACTCATGAGACAACTATCCCAGTCGAAAGCCAATTTAATGTGTATTACCATGGATGGGCATGCAACATTGGAGTCAGCTGAACGAATGGTTCAAAGAGCAAATGATTGGGTAAACTTGAAGGGACTTTTCCTTGTTTTGAGGGTTATAAATCTTTGTTTGCAGTTCCATCAAATGCTGGATGATTTGGAAAAGCGTATCAGAGATGAACGGCGAATGAAGAGGAGGTTTCGTCGGCATATAAAGCGGTTGCTGAAACCTGTTAGTTTGCAGTCTTAGTATAGTTGTTCTTGGCACCATTGGGATACTGTAGTATGCAGAGAAAATCCACGTGACTTAAACCTTAAGAGTCGTTAAATGTTCAGTATCGCTCACGCATACAGACACAAGCTTAATTTTGATGCGCAACTCATGCGGATTTATCATTTTCTAATTCAGAATTTTTCCTTTTTCACATCTTTGAGAATCAGCGGGAGTTCAAATCAATATCATTATCGTCAATGAAGAAAAAGCATTAGTACGTTAAAGCATAATGAGATTGGTAGTTTTCTTCATTTGCGCATGAAATGTATAATGACTGATCCTCTCAAGAAAGTTTAAGCAGTTCGAAAATGTTGGGAGAAGTTGGCAAGATATTCTTCTCGGAATATAGCATTTTTTCTGTAATGCTGAAATGAACACCTAGCGAGAACAATCATTGTCAAATCCTGTCCCATTCCTAGAAGATTGAATTGATTTTATCTCTTACAAGAGGCCTTATAGCTAAGATGAAGTCAATTCAAAATGTGTCTGGAAATGTAATAGCAGATTAGAAAAGTATAAATGATGTTGCTAATTAGTTAAAAACTTAACTTAGAGGAAATCCTTGAGAGGAGTTTGCGATCCCTTTTTTGTTTCTATTTTTATCTTTTTTGGAATGCGTAAAGCCTTCAATTCCTGATCTTTTGAATTTTCGTTGTAATCGCTCAAGGCGTCAACCTATGTATTGAATATAAATACGTAAGTGTTCAAACTAACTACACACTGGATGGCAGCATGATCGGGATGTCGGATCTTGCCATGATATACGAAGTAATTAGCTAAATCAGAGCTTTGAAAAAAATTTAAAGCTGTACAATCTCCCTTTTCGTTAAGATTGTGGATAAGTTGTGTGATCTCGAACTTCTCTACGAAACACTGAGCTTTTTGGAGAAACGAATGAAAGTTAATGAAAAGACGATTGCGATGTCTAAGGAAAACATGCGTAATGCACGGAAAACGCTTGCTATGGTTGGTTTTTGAGATAAACTTAAATAGGTGGATTAAATTTTGAAACGCAGCTTACTGCCTTGGATTATAAACGGACAATTCGATCACAGCAGCCACCCATCGACACTCGCGATTACACTTTGGCAGCTGAGGTGGGCTTAACAAGTTAGAGACTAATAACTTTTGCAAAAGTTCATTGTTTATTCTCTAAGGTTGCGACGGCATTCCACCTTCTTGACAGAAATATTTTACGTATAAGGCCGTTCATAGCGCGTTCAGCATTAGCATCTACTCTCATCGATGTTGTAAGCACACAAATGCGAGGAATTCACAAAGCTATTGTTGAGGAGGTTTGTTTTGCATTCTATTCAAGTAACAAGTCACTAAACTTATCACTTAAAGGTGCCAAGGCATTCGCTATTGGAGTACAATGCAAGGATAGAGACGGAAAACGCGAAATTATCTAAAAATCCATTCTTCATAAGTAAGAGGGGTTTGAAATCATTTCGAAATTGCTCCTTTCAAATTCGTTCTGTTCGGAAATTGTTTTTTGAGGCATTACAAAAAATACTTGAAAAATCATCAAATTAGACTTTATGTATTCAATCTCTGATGCGTAACGTTAAAGTAATATTTACCAGCAAAAACTATAGTGCTAGTTATTCCGAATAGGATATGAAGCTAGCAATCAACCCTCCATTCAGTTACC